ACATTAATATTATCAGTAAATTGAATTTTACAAACCAAGGTTCATCAGATCACGTAGATAAAAGCTCATCTTTTGTTCTGGCCCAATATCCAAAGGAAATAGCAAATTTTTAAAGTTTTCTTGAAGACTAATGAAGTCAAGGCCATTCAAATCTCATCTAAAGAACAGATTTCACAAAGAAAAAGTACAGCCCCTTGTGTAATATAGTATGTTGGAAATACTTTGGAGGATGGGGTGAAGAGATGCTGTTTACAAAACAGTCAGATAAGAGAGGGTGTATTCCACAGCTGGGTATCGGATGGAGCAAGAGGCTCAAAAGGGACTCTCTAGCAGTCTAGCTTCTCAGTCAGTAAATAAGATGGCAGGAGATTTGTATTTTCAGACTTGCAAGATCCTGCTAATGAAGCCTCCCAATAAAGTAAAATTAACTCAATCTGGTTACATGTTTTGTCTGGTTTGTCTGGGAAAACTGATACCTAGGTATCATCAGGTGATAGTTCCTCAAGAAGCACACCCATCAAGTGACAGCATGTGGTATAAGCAGAAATCACTAAAGACAGACTGAAATAAAACCATTCTGTGTCATGTAGGGCTTTTTAGGTGATAACTAGCATTTGGAATTGCACCTAGAAACCTACTAGAAGTTGGTATAGCATATGAAGTAGTTGTAGTTCTGTGGTGTGCCCATAACTATCTGTGCAATTGCATTCTGGACCAATTCAATTTCTGGATGGTTTTCACAGAGCACTACATATAGAGAGTTGCAGTAGTTCAACTGGGAGATGACTAAGTAATGTGTGATGGTGGAGCATAGCATAATGGTCTGTGGAAATGGTCTGGGAATACAGGAAGAAGAACCATAGCCCAGACAGCTGTCATGCAAATGGTATTTCAGCCTACAGAAGAAAAAGTAGCATGGGGAGCATCTCAGAAAAATCCCTCCCTAGTTTTGGGAAAGTAAAAGAAAAAAAGGGGGAGATGTGTTTTCTGACCTGCAAAATTATAGTACTGTAACATACTCACAATAAAGATTGTGTTAATACTCATGGTTGGTGATTCTTGTGTTTCTGAATGTTGTTATTCTATTTTTTTATGCTGCCTTAATATAAAGCCATAGGTGGAATGGTCATTGTTTCAAAATTGAAAAGTGCATGTAGCATAGCTGGGCAGGAGGACAGAGCAGTGCAATGATTTTCAACAATGTATATATCAGGTTGCAGACTTAAGTCATTTCTACCCAATTACTTATGACATCTTCACAGAATGATACAATCATGACTGAAGTACTATAAAGTCTGATCTCATCGCTATGATGTCAGTGTAACACTAGATGGCTGATTCTAGATGACACTATAAGTCACTAGTACAGAAATGACCTTAGAATAAATAAAAAGTTTATATTTTTTTCATAATCAGTGGTTAAAATTTGCTGTAAATCCAACAATGGTCAGTATGGTTTCCTAGCTCTTTAGTGGCAAAATACTGAATTACAGCAATACAATTTTTGAATGGTGTGTAAGTGTTGTGTAAATCTTGTGTAAATCATGTATACATAGTATGTAAATGTAAATGTCTCAAGAGAGACATTTAAAAAGCTAAAAAAGAAACAAAAAGACCAGAACACATCTTTTCCAGCAACCAATGCCCAGATAAGCAGGGATTGACACCAGACAAACACTCAAGCAAAGAACAAAACCCTAATCAAGGAGCTATCAAGGAGAAAACCACACCTCCACCAACTACAATGAAAACATAGGTAGCACTGTAATCAAATTTCAGGGCAAAGTCCAATGTAGCAAAATAAGACATAGCCCCGCATAACAATTCAATAATTTATTGTTTACTGGAGGCAAAATAAAAATAAACTGAAGTTTAAAACATCTTAATGGATCAGCAATTAGACTTGTGCCTACATTCAGATATCACACTAACAATAGTATGTTATTTAGCCCACAATATGCTAAGTTAACATAAGCCATTTCCTCTTGCTTTACTGTATTGTAGCAATATAGCCTATATTGGCTGATTACAAATTTTCTAGAATTATTCCAGTAGGAATTGATTGTTTAAAAATTTATTGAAACATATTTACTAAAGAATCCTTAGCAAACATATTTAAAACTACAGACAGTATAGCATTCAAGGCTCAAAACTAATAAATGTAGAATCTAGATTGAGTTGGGAATGTAGCATTTATGGCCAAAATTTTGTACATTTTTTTATAAGTTTCAGTCTTTTTAATTTAGAACACACACATGTACTCTCTCTGTCTCTCTGTCTCTCTCTCTGTCTCTCTCTCTCTCTCTCTCTCTCACACACACACACACACACACACACACACACACGAGTCTTCAGTGTCCACAGGATCATGTGAAATTTTGTAGGCTAACTGCTGCCTGAAGTTTGCTGACCCCTAACTGTTTCAGAGCTATAAGAAAAGTCAGCTCTAAGGGATATTTAACTTAAAGTAGTCATACTTTAAATGCATCATTCTTTCAGGTCTTCCTTTTAAGAAATACTTAAAAAGCGTTGATATGACAGAGATCTCTATAAGGTAAATATGGTGATTTCAGCAAGAATCACTAAAGATGCTCCTTGAATTTCAGATAATAATTTAAAGAGGAAGATTCCTTTGAGTTCAATGGAGGAGAAAGGGTAGCATACTCTTGTGCATTGTAATCTCAATAATTATTACTCCCTTCAAGCAGAAGCTGTCTGAACTTTAAAGTTATTGCGTGCATGACATGCAAATTTTAATTAAATGTTTTATCCAGTATGAGTCTTAGGTCCTGGTCTGGTAAACAAATAGGGTGTTGTAGTTGTCTCAGGTGTTAAACAACAAGGGATGGGTGAAGCTGCAAAGGATTTGAAGGTGGAGCTGTGGGTATGTTGTCTCTGGACTCTGTCACCTAAAGTTTGCTGTACCCAAAATGCAATGAAGGATGTTCATTTAATAGCAGAGCTGAACTTTATTTCTAACAGAATAAGAATCCTGTTTTTTGCTTTGAGAAGCAAAATAATAATAATAATCAGAATTGAATAGCAAAATGCCAAGGAACACATGTAGAGGTCAGAGAATTATTTCTTGTCCATCACTAAATGAAAGGTGTGGTTTTGTTTTTTTTTTTTTTTGTTTTGTTTTTTTTGAGATTTCTCAGGACACCTCTTGTCACTCATCAGACCTGAAGCTAAAGTATGGGCAAAATCTGCATTATTAGAAATTGACTTGCTTATAGCAATGCAAGAAATATAGGACATTTATTAACTTAATCTGCAATGGCAGGACAGGTACATGACCTTATTCAACATTAAAACTTGTGCGATTTCCATTCAGTTTCATTTACTTGGTTCTGTAAGATACACTGCACGATAGCTTCAAGTGTGACGGTTAATTTTAACCTCCCTATCAATCTACAGCTGCCTTTTAAAATTCCCCCCACCTCAAGTTTTCCACTGTTATCGTCAAGCAGGGCAGCATGGTATCATTTGTATTAGTGCAGCTATAAAACTGACACACGATTAAATCGAAGGAAAGAGATTTATCACTGCTCAGGCAGCCAGATCAGAAGTAGAAGCTCTTCAGATATTAAGAATCCAGTTGAAATAATCCAGTGCTGTGCTAAGAAATGCATGGCAAAGGCATTACATTCACTATCAATGTAAAAAGAAATCTGTGGAAGAAATGAAGTCATGTTGTTCACCAAAAAGAGAGTCCAAAGGAAAGTGGATTCTTGTAGTGCTTGTCAACATACTTCCCCCCTTCAAGTTATAGTGGTACCTTGGTACTCAACTACATTGAAAGTCATTGAATTTGCTACTCAACACATTTTGACATGAAAATGTTGTCCTGGTAATCATCATTTGTTTGGTACTCAGTGGACAAGCTAGAACTTGTTGGTGTTCGACTGCCTTGTGACTCACTACATTATTCCTTATGGGAAAATTTTGTTTGGTACTCATTGTTTTTGGTACTCATTTTACCTCCTGGAACCAATTGTGGATGAGTACCGAGTACCACTGTATATGTGAAGCAGTCTTAATTTTTTTAAAGTCGTATTCATTATTAAATATCATCTTTTGGGAGGACTTCAGTTTTTGATTGCTGGTGCCTGCCTGGATTAGATCCTGCAGTTTTGGGGGAAAGTTTTTCAGACATTGTCATTACCTGTTTCCTAGAACTGGGAGAGACTGACTAACCAATGTCACCCAGCTATCTTTGTGCCTAAGGTAGAACTAGAACAGATAGTCTCCTGGCTATTACCCTTCACTAAACTGGGTTGTTTGCTAAAATACACTTGTCCAATGCCCAGAGCCTGTCTGGACAAGTCCCTGCATTTTCTTGTCAAGGTTTTTCAGAAGTAGTTTGCCACTGTTTCCTTCCTAGGGCTGAAAGAAAATTACTGGCATAAGGTTACCCAGCTGACTTTATGGCTAAAGCAGCACTAGAACTCACAGTCTTCTGGTTTTTAGCTTGATGCCTTAATCACTCCAGACCCATAGTTATCACTTTCCTCCTCATGGCTGTGAGTCATGGTGTCAGCTGCCTCCTCACATTTGTGCTTCACAACCATTCAGTATCAGCTGCCATGAACTCTAGGAGGGCTGGATGAGGGTGGGGGTGATGTTTTGAGGGAAATAAAACTTCACTGTATCTCTCCAAGATGAGTTTCAAGGACAATTGGCTGGGAACGGAATGCAGTTGCATACCAAACCTATGCCTGAAGTGACTGTTCTAAAAATACTTTGATTGGACATGGACATGGACCTAATGATGGGAGGCAAATAATGGAGGGAAAAGTTAGACTTGGGGATTTTGGTGCATGGTTTTCTGTACTGGCTATGCATCATTGTAATTCACTTGACTTCTAGTAAACTATAACTTTCTCAATAAATGGGGTTAAGGATAAGTTCAAACTGAGGCAGGTCCGACATCTGGACTCTATATTAAAGGCACAACAATTAGAGAAATTTAACATGCATGTTCTCTACTCCATCCTTAGCATTCATTGGATTGTGTCTCCAACCTGGAGGTCTTGGGTTGTGTGGAATCCACCAGGATTGAGCCTCTGATAACCAGAGCCCAGATGAGATGGATGGAAAACATCATCAGAATGGATGACTGCCATATGACTTGCCAGTTGCTCTGTAGTGTGCCGGAGTCTGAGAAATGACCTTGAAGTCATCCACACAAATGCTACAAAGACACTGAAAGAAACCTTATACCATTGTGGCATTCAGCCAAGGGCATTAGAAGCTGCAACTGCTGACAGAACCTGCTGGTGAGCTCTGTGCTGTGAAGCCACCACTGGCTTTGAAGACAAGCACCATCAAAACCTGATAGAAAATGATGAGCACATCATAGACAGTTGCTACAGCAATGGACTTCCAGTGCCCCTATTGTGCTACATCCTGTGCTTCCACTGGGGAATTGCAGAGCAAGCTCTCTGCCAACAGATGAACTGCACAACACCATGTTTTCTTTGAATCCAAAGGATATGAATATATCACTTCTCATATTTAAAGATTCCCCCATTTCATAGAGAGATTTACACCAAACTGATTCATTGTTATCCTACTCTCTACTAAGTATGTATTAAAAAAAACCTGTCAGCACAGGAATATAAATACTTATTTCCTGAAAATATTTTTTATTCTTCCTCTTTTATTGACTTACTGTGAATTTTCATATAATAAAACAAGCAGGATTAGCCTCACAGTACAAGCGAGCTGCTATTAAACAGACAATGCAACTGAGTTCCAGGATAGAATAAGTCACTTTGTGAGGTTCTTGGTGCTCTGATCCTTACACTGATGATGTTACCTAGTTCAGTAATGAAATGTCTGCAAGAAAACAGTGAAGGTCAGAGAGCACCACGGACCCCAGTTCAGCCAAGTATTCTCATTCTCATAACTCAACACTGCCTTCTTTCTAGGGCTGACAAGAATGAGAAACTGGCTCAAAGTCACCCAGCTGGCTTCTGTGCCTAAGGGGGTGGGGACTAGAGCTTATGGTCTCTCCTGGTTTCTAGCTGGTGCTTCTATCTAGCCAATACTTGGTTTGGTTGGATAGAGGTTGCTCTAAATAGATTTTATTTCCCAATAACTATCAGCAGATATTTGTTCCCACAGATGGACACTCTTAGTTTCTTCTGGGAGTAGGTGAGGGGGCTGTTCTAGTAGTTGGCTAACTGCAATTAGCAATTGCCTCAGCAATTTTATTTAGAGGACATAATCAGATGACTGTCAACTCATCTCTGACCAGCCAAAAAGCAATGTACCTTTTCCTGTTCAATTCTTAAAGTGGCAGTTTCCAATTTCTTTTGTTCTAGTTTATAACACTGCAATATCCAGTTTGTAAGGTTGTCAATATATATGCTGCAAATTTGATGAAATAAATTAAATTTGCCTGCAAGATTAACCATGGCAGTAAAAAAGTACTGCTGTCAGATTACACACCAGGCATAGCAATTACTGACTTTCCAGAAACTCAATCCAACATTGTCATTATATGGTAGACTCCCTTTTCCTCTCTGTCAAATCAAATAATTCTGGCTGTACTTTTCTGGGACTTGACAGTCAGCAAAGAATCTGTATTTGAATAATGGTTTTGTTTAGTCTGAGCATCCTTGCTTCCCACCTAAGCAGCTTCATCCCTTACACTGTTTCACTAGGACAGCATTTCTCCATATCTATTGAAATTAACATGTTCACATTGCTGTTAACAAGCATATAAAACAAGGATGGAAACAAATCCACAGATATGAATAACATATAATAGAATAGATGAAACATATTTTGTAGTATAAGAGCCTAGTTCTTGCTGGTGAGAAAATGGGACTACCTATCTGCTGCTAAACATTCATCCTCACCTTTATATGTGGTCAGCAGCTTCCAATATGAGGATCATATGGAGCTCCCAACTTTACTCTCTAGCACTTGAATGCTGCTTCCTATCCATCCATTCCAGCATCTGCTGTTTAAACAAAATTCTCATCCATCTATTTGCATAGTTGAACAAGTGCCTGAAGATAATTTCACTTTGACCTTTGCACCCTTCCTTAAAAGGATTTCAATAAGAGCTTGGATAACCACTGCAAATCAGAGTCTGATTCAATAGAAAGCATTATACTAATCTACCAGTAATGCACTCCAGACAAAAGTTATGCTAAGTATCACCAAAACATTTTAAGAGAAGATCAGACATCAGTAGTACAAACACTGTACTACATTTGTTAGAAAAGGCAAAAGCACGTCTTACTAAAACAGCACAATTACATTTGTCAATCAAAGTGGCAGAAAAGTGGGAATGATGAACTGATATAACTTTATTCCCAATATAATTTGTATGACTCTTAAAAAATGTGGCCAGTTTGACTAATATAGACTATCCCATTTTTATTCCTTTTCCCTTCTTGCATTTGGTATGTTTACACGCAACCAACAGCTGCTGAGATGTCAGCAACTGCTCACAAGGGATTACAATTAATAGTAAATCTGCTTTATAGCTGACTCTCAGAAAGACCTCTTCTCTTCTCTGGCATGCAAGAAGGTGGCAGCTGAGCTTGACCGGTAACTCAGGGGCTCAAGAGATTCAGTCTCATTACCTTAATCTAACCTAATCTACCTTCCTTTTTACCTAAAGATGCCCTTGAGAAGAGTCTAAAGTAACTTTTCCTTAATTTGATTTGCAGCTGATTTGTAGCATGTAGTATAGAATTACTTTCTTGTTTTGATTTTTCTTGTGCTGAAGTGGTTTTGCTTTTTTTTAAAAAAAAGCATGGAAGCATTGCTACTGATTTGTGTTTTACTTAAATTGTATTGCAAAGAAACTAAAAAATGTTTATACATTATTTTAGGCCACAGAATAATTTTGGAACTGAGTTTAGAGAGTTTTACAATGAAATGAGGTAGACTAAGCTTTCATAAACTTTGCACAGTAAGTCAAGGCATAATCATATTCATAGCTTTAAAAATGCCAGAGCGCTTACTTTTTACTTAATATTTCTATTAGTTTCTATAAACGGCTGCCGTATTTATGTTTCTCTGGAGCAAGTTTGTTAAACTTAAGTAAAATACGATAACGCAGTGTTATCAGATTATTTTCTCTTGGCCAAGTACTGCTTTGTTTTAAAGAAGATTGCTGCTAAACTGAACAAAAACATAAGCCTGGAAGCTGAAATACATGGGCAGCCAGTAGTAAAAATAAAGCTCTTTATTCCTTCAGGTGGGGTTCCCCAATGTTGAAAGAGTAAATGGCAATTTCCCCAATCTATGCAACTGAGGACATGCAGAAGAAGGAGGTTCACCGAGTCATTTTTTTTACCCCTGTTATTGCCACAGGGGTGAGCATTCACCTCACAAAGTGTCCCTTCAACTCCTCAGTCCCTGCAGGGAAGGGCAGACAGAGGATGACGATGGTAGTGGTGTTGCCGCTGCCAACTGACATAATAGCTGACTTGGCAGCTGTAGGAAGTTAGCACCCACCCCTCTCCTGGAAGAGTGAAATATTTTAGGAAATATGAAAAAGGCAGAATATTATATTTCCCTGGGAGAAGCATGTTCCCTGGGAGAAGCAGCTCCCACCTTCCTGCCCCCCACCCTTTGTTAATGGGACAGAGGCAGAAACCCAATCCTTTGTCAAAGGACATTTGCAACACAATAGCAACAGAAACTAACACAATGGGACCCATCTAGACGAGGCTCACCACATGGCACCTGGGAAGATTGCATCAGCCAGCAAGACCCCCACCCCCTGGGAGTCTGACAACCAATCAGGATACTCTTTTGGGGCCCCAAGAAATGCAGAGCCAGAGAGAGCATAAAAACCCGAGGATTTACTGTATCTGCCCTTTTCTGTTCAGGAACTCAAGCCATGTGATCCTGTCCACCATTAAACCATCTTTCCAAGCAGTCTCCATGTTTCCAGTGTCTGTTTTCCCCACTTGGAGCAGAACCCAGAAGGATGTTTCTTCCAACAGCAGCAACAGTAGAAAAACAGGTGGGCCAGGAATTGCAATGGCTCTTCCTTCCCTCTCTCTATTTCATTCATGCTGCTCCTATTATGGTTCCTATGGTCCATCGGAGAACCAAAGTGATTGTCTCTCCTGCGTGCTATCTCACTACATGCAGTCCAAGTTCTCGTACTAATCTATTCTTTTTACCAACTGCATCCAGACAGATATAACTGCTGCACACTTTTTCTCCCTTATTATTTTTGAAATGGCAGCTGCATTGCTAATGAATTAAAGACATTTGTTACTGGAGTAGGAAACTAATTCTCATCACAATAGGATAGCTGCAAACTTTCCATTATCAGTGAGATCAGAGGCCTAAAAAAGCTGGCTATGCACAGTTTGAATATGATTTGAAAGAAGTCCTTTGGACCTCATGCAAGATACTATTTGTTATTCATTAAAAATCATTAGTTGTTTTTTTTTCCAGACTTCCTTTTCAGACTGAAAAAAGATGTAGGTATTTTCAAGCTCACATTAATTCAAGGGATGCAGGGAAATGGGAAAAAGTCAGAGGGCAAGATAGTCTGGTCAGACCTAATCAGCTTGTTGCAGAACAAAAGAAACTCTTTTTTTCTAGTTTCTTTGTTGGCTTTTTTCTGACTTGATATTGTGGTAGTCTTACTGTATTCTAGAATGTTGTAAGACTTTGACTTAGAATAACTTTATTGTCACTTTGAATGTACACTAATCAGCATACATTAAAATGAAATTTCATTGCATACAGCTCTCAAAACATCACCACCTCCAATATACAGTACATAAACATGACAAAATACATACATACGTACGTACATACATACAAAATTATGCATGTACCCATATATATTATATGACACAGAGAAACAACACAGTCTAGTTCAGCTGTATACATGCACATGGTGAGAAAAACTAATCTTGCGAGTTTAGCAGACGGATGGCACAGAACAGGGGTGTCAAATTGCTACAAGTTGATTGCAATTTTGTAACAAAAAAATAAACAGCAAATAATGCCATATTTTTAAATAATAATTTATGTTATGTTATAGAATGTAATTTTAAAAATAACTTTTTGCATATGTTCAATTTATTGTGCAACATTTAAAATTTACCTATTTAAATCCAGTCATTTTAAAATGTGAAGTTCTATAATTTGTTTTGATTAAAATGCATATCACATGAACAGACTTTTTAATACAAATGAAATAGATAAAACTCTGATTCTACAGTGTGTAACAATTGATATCTATTATGTAACAAAATGTTACTGGATATTGGCAATCCATTAATACAGCATTGGAAATTGGTTTATATACATATACATATACATATATATATACATATACATATACATATACATATACATATACATATACATGAACTTTAATATTTTTATCTGTTATTTTAAATTCCCACATAAAAACATTGTTTTTATAGAAGACAAAAATAAATAAATAAAGTTACTAAAGGCACTGATAATAGTCATCCTAAATTACTGAATATCTTAAATAAATGAACTTTTCACAAATGGCCAATGAAGACTCCAAGCAGGCATTAGATTAGACAGAAATGTTCTGCTGTGCCAGGGATGTCAAACTGACAGCCCGCTGGCCAGATGTGTCACATGCAGGCCATGCCACCCCATCTCCACAAA